AAAAGATACAAAGAAAGCATTCAGATATTATCAAAAATCTGCAGATATTGGACATATAGATGGAATATATAATGTTGAGAATTGCTATAAAAATGGAATAGGAATTAAAAAGATATAAAGAAGACATTCAAATACTATTAAAAACCAACAGATATGGAACAAGCTGATAGAACATATAATCTTGGATATTGCTATAAAACAGAATAGGAATTGAAAAAGATACAAAGAAAGCATTCAGATATTATCAAAAATCTGCAGATATTGAACATATAGATGGAATATATAATGTTGAGAATTGCTATAAAAATGAAATAGGAATTAAAAAGATATAAAGAAGGTATTCAAATACTATTAAAAACCAACAGATATGGAACAAGCTGATAGAACATATAATCTTGGATATTGCTATGAAAACGGAATAGAAATTGAAAAGGATACAAAGAAAGCATTCAGATATTATTAAAATCTGCAGATATTGGACATATAGATGAAATATATAATATTGAACGTTGCTATGAAAATAGAATAGGAATTAAAAGATATAAAGAAGGCATTCGAATACTATCAAAAACTAACAGATATAAAACAAGCTGATGGAACATATAATCTTGGATATTGCTATGAAAATAGAATAGGAATTGAAAAGGATATAAAGAAAGTATTTAGATATTATCAAAAATCTGTAGATATTAGATATAGATAGAATATATAATGTTGGACATTGTTATCAGAACAAAATTGGAACCAAAAAGAATGAATATAAGGCATTCTAATATTATCAAAAATCTGCAGATATGGGGCATGTTATAGAAGGCTTTCAAATATTATCAAAAATCAACAGATATAAAACAAGCTGATAGAACATATAATCTTGGTCATTGCTATGAAAATGAATAAAAATTAAAAAGGATATAAAGAAAGTATTTAGATATTATCAAAACTCTGCAGATATTGGACATATAAATAGAATATATAATGTTGGATGTTGTTACCAAAACAGAATTGGAACTGAAAAGAATGAACATGAGATATTTAAATATTATCAAAAACTGCAGATATGAAGAATGCTGATAGAATAAATCAAGTAGGAAATTGTTTTATAAAGAGAATTGGAGTTAAAAAAGATGAATACAAGGCATTCATTTATTGTCAAAAACATAACTTTATATAATCTTGGATGTTGTTATTAAAACGGAATAGAGATTGAAAAAGATATAAAAGAAGGCTTTCAAATATTATCAAAAATTAACAGATATGGAACAAGCTGATGGAATATATAATCTTGGACGTTGTTATGAAAGTGAAATAGGAATTAAAAAAATATAAATAAAGCATTTAAATATTATCTGCTAATATACGAAATAGTAGTTTAAAAAAATATAAAGGAGGTGTTTGAATATTATTGTAATTGATTGTGTAGATTACTCATTATTATAATTTTTGTGATGATCCAATATCCATTGCTGAGTGGAAAAGAGTAAGACTTTGCATTCTTTTAGCTTTTTTCATTTTTATTCTCTTCATTTTTGTATAAATAGAGTAGGCAGTGAAGTTTGGTTTTAAACAATAATAACTTGAACAATCAGTAAACTAGAATTTTACAAACCACGATAAAAACTTTGCAAAAGTACTCCTTAGAAATTTTTTTAGATTAACAATAAATAATGTACTAATTTATCTCCATATATACTCACTATAAAATTTTATTATTAACTTGATATAGAGATTAATATATTTTTTTTCTAATTAAAAAAAAGAATTACTGATCTTATTAATTGCTGTATCAGAGACCAAAACAATTAAAAAAAAAAAAAAAAAAATAGACATCTTAAAACAAGCATAAACCAAACCAATTTTTTCAGTTTATCCAAATAAAACTTCCAAAAAGTTTATCTGATATAATTTTTCTAAGGAAACTTCTAATACAATTAATTTGGAAGAAACTACCTTATTAAATGAAGATAATACTTATTTATCTCTTGAATCAGATGCTTTAGCTTTAGCTCTGTTTTCTGCATCTTCTCTGTCCTCTAAACCAAAAATTAAAAAACAAAAAAATGTTTTAAATGATAGTGATAAAGAGTCTTGTCTTTGGCCAAGAACAATTATTAAATCATTACTTTCTTACTTATCCAAAAATATGCTAATTTACCGAATAAATAAAGAAAATTTTACTTTAAAGCTGCTTTATATCTTAGTAATAGTAAAACAGGAGATCAAGTTTGTAATAAAATCCAATTACTTATCAATAAGTATATAGAAAAAAGCTTAAACAAAACTAAAAAAGTGGCATCAACTTGGCCTTTTTATAATGAAATGAATGATATATTCGGAAACTGCAAAAATGTAAATCCCAACTATTTAGTAAATAGCACAGGTCAGGTAAATATTACTATAATATAACTTTGTATTTGTATATATATAAAACAAATAATAATATTATTATTATAATTGTAATATATTTAGACTTATTGTAATAACTTGCAAAAAGACAATGGTAATAATAAGAATTACACTCTAAAATCTAATAAGAAATAGCATTTAGATGAAGAAGAAATGCATTACATAAAGTCTATCAATATAATTACACAAACTAAAAAAACTAAGGTTGAAACTAAGCAAAAACTTCTTTAGTTAGAAATAGATAAACTCAAATTTGAAAAAAAATAGCATGAAAAAAAATAAGAAAACTGATTTAGAAAAGTACAAATTAGATCTTGAGTATAAATTACAACTAGAATTAAAAGCCAAAGAGCTTAAAATTAAATATAAATATAAGGTGGTAATGGAAAATAAATTATAAAATTTATTACATTGTATAAACTTAGTTTTTTTTTTATTGTATTTTTTTTTCTTTTTATTGTGTTTTTTTTTGTTGCTTGTATTTTGACACCATTTTGTATTAAATTTTTTATTATAAAAATAAAACTTGTTACTTGGATGAAACTTTTTGAAATGTGTGACCTATCTAGTATTACCACCAATATCAAATTTATTATCTAACATGATTGATACAATAATAATGATTTTTTTTTTTTTTTTTGGCAAAGGTGACTCTAATTGTTAGCGAGATTTTATTAGACAAGTATTAAACACTATATATTATGACAAAGATATATCAAGCTACATGTGTATCTTTTGAGTGCCTATTTAAGTAGTTTGCCCGAAGGTTCTACACTATCTACCATATCTGCACTCAACTAGGTAGTACCTATTTAAACCTTCTGGTCTTAATATATTTAGCCTAATCCTATCTAACACAGGTGTAACTCACTATATGGGTAGTAGATTTTGTAACACCGCTACATTTACTAGCCAACTTAGAACACTTAACTATTCTCAAGAGTAAACCTAACAGAGTAATACATGTATTCACCTGCATGTTCAGCAACTTTTTCTTAACTAGTACCTGTTGTACTGCTAACACTGGGTCTGTATTTCAAGCTACCTTTTAGGGTACTGCTATAACTCGATCCATATCTCAAGTCACAACCTTCCTAGTTAGTTCTCCATTATGTACTCATTGCTCTTAATCGGTTCACAACAACCCTAGTACTCACATTTGGAACTGCCTCCTTATCCAGATTCTCTATCAGTCTCTCTCTTACTTCTAGCTGGCAACCCAGAAGAGTTGGTTTGCTCAGGCTTTAGGTGTCTAAAGAACACCCTCCCCTTGGTTCATACTTTCAGAATGTATACCCTTTTTTTCTGGTGTGACAACCCAGCAGTTTGGCTAGTGTGTCCTCTGCCATAGAACCTGGTTACTCGGTTTTCTGATCTCAGATCCTGGTTCAAATTCAGCCCTCCTGTGATACTGTTGAAGATTGCTGTTATATCCAAATTCGGAACTTCCCAAATGGGTTTCTGGTTATACTAGTACCTCAGGTTTATTGCACCAAAGCTCCCATTACTAGATGGTGTGATTGAAGTTACAAATTTAGTTCTAGATCCAACTGATAAGCATAGCCGTTAACCGAACACAGGTCTATTTTTCAAATATCTAGACCTGCCACTTGAAGAGGGTAACAACTAGACCACTATACAAAGTCACTACACCTCTATATAATAATGATATATTATTAATAATAATACATATAATAATAAGAATAACTATTTACTCTTTCTTTAATATTATAAATTGGAAAATCCAAAACTTTGTTCATTTTATCAAATTATAAAACCTATTATTACATTTCAAAAATAATCAAAAAACATGCTTTGAATATTCAACACATATAAATGAAGCTAAAAAAGAAATGTAACAACAAATTTTAAATGATATTTGTAAGCAAAAATAAAATCTGAAAAGATTAAACATATAGTTTATAAAAAGTTTATGGATATCGAAGAAGAAGGCAATATGTATATGAATCTTGAGATAGTTATAAATATTTCTTGAATAATTAATGAATTAGAATTAAATGAAGCAGAGAAAGTTTTTGCAAGTTCATTAGCTGTGAAAAGGAGATGGCTATTTATACATTTACTATAAAAAATATGATAATAAATAGATTAAGACTACTTTATTTACCTATTTGTATAATTGTCCTTTGAATATCCATTAGCCATTTGAAGTAAATTTTTCGGTTAACATCACTTTCCAGAACTCTCAGAGGTGGAAGCAAATGAAACGAATATATAAAATAAACAAACTATTTTTAATGTAGTAAATTTATTATAGAATTGACTTCAAGTTAAATTTAGTCTAGAGATTCTAG